AGCAGAAAGTGATATTAAAAATAGATGATTTTTGCTCTTAACTAAACTGTATTTTAACTGTATGTCATGGGATCCTAGTGATTTGCGATAGGCATTTGATTTATTTTGGTAAAATGAAGTTGACATAAACAAATATTTATATGCTCAAGAAGTCAGTACATCTATGAAATGATAACAAATAAATTCCCTCACCAAATGGACAGTGGCAGTAATATCCTTCCATTCCACTTTGACATGATCCTCCATTGAAACAGGGGTTGCATTCACAGTAATTGACAGCAGAGTCACATGTTTTCCCTGTAATCAGATAACCAATGATAACCAAATCAGATAACCAAACTCCTTAGTGTCTCAAATTATTATCTCACAGAACATGTTGAGAGACTTAATAAACTGATGTTTATAAAGTTTCACAAAGAGCATCAACTATTTAGCTTGAAGGTACTGTTATCCCTATTTTTTTTAAGTGCACTGAATACATCAGGGTGATGAAATTAAGGATAAAATGAGTCTAATTTGAATGAGTATGAATGTAATAGGTTTAATACAGGCAATCATTATAAATGATTTTATATATTTTTCCATCAATTATGATCTCCTTCCTGACTTGGAGGGACCGTGGTCCTCTGAGCCAGTTCTTTTCTGGAAAGACACAGTCACATGTGCTACATATTATTCACTAGAGAATAAACTGACGCCATATAATTCATTTCAATGAGCCTAAACTTCAAGTGAGTATTTTTGCAGACTTTGAATGCTGGTAATGGGGCTCTGTACATAAGTGAAAGAATAATAGCAAGGAGAGAAATTATAAGAGCTATCACAAGTATAAGCAGAAGTACCAAACTAAAATGTACCAAACTAAAACATTTCACTTCCTTTTCCACTGAAACAAGCAAAAACTACCTGTCTTCATTTAAAATTTCCTTCATGGCTTAGCCACAGCTAATTTTAATCTCTTACATGGTTTACACATATTTATACTTGTTTTTACTGCCAATTAATCAAAATCCCAACAATCAATTTTTCCGTGACATCCCTGACAAATCTGCAAAGCCAGTTAATCTTCAAATCTCTCATTACAACTCACCTATGCCATTATTACTACAAAATAACAGGAAATGGCTAGGCAACTGGCATGCCACTTATAAACACTACTTATTACACTGCAAATAACTGCCTTTTTTATTACAATACACATATCAAACACTGTGGCTACATCTACACTGGCATGATTTTCCGGAAATGCTTTCAACGGAAAAGTTTTCCGTTAAAAACATTTTCGGAAAAGCACGTCTAGATTGGCAGGATGCTTTTCCGCAAAAGCACTTTTTGCGGAAAAGCGTCCGTGGCCAATCTAGACGCGGTTTTCCGCAAAAAAGCCCCAATCGCCATTTTCGCGATCGGGGCTTTTTTGCGGAACACACTACTGTGCCGTTTACACTGGCCCTTTTGCGCAAAAGACTTTCGGAAAAAGACTTTTGCCCAAACGGGAGCAGAATAGTATTTCCGGAAAAGCATTGACGATCTTACATGAGATCGTCAGTGCTTTTCCGGAAATTCAAGCAGCCAGTGTAGGCAGCTGGGAAGTTTTTCCATAAAATCAGATGATTTTGCGGAAAAGCTTGCCAGTCTAGACACAGCCTCTTAGAATACTGCATCGTATGATAGAAATATAATGCTGGAAGGGACTTCTAAAAATCGAGTCCGCTCCCCTGCCCCACATTGTGCTGAGGCAGGACCAAGAAAACCTAAAACATCCCTGCCAGGTATTTGTCTAACCTGACCTTAAAAACCTTCAGTGATATGAATTCCAGAACCTCCCTTGGAAATCTCTTTCAGAAGTTATCTGTCATTACAAAGTTCTTCCTAATAACTAACTTAAATCTTCCTTGCTGCAGATTAAGCCTACTAATTCTTGTACTACTTTCAATGGATATGGGGACCAACTGATTATCCCTGTCAAAAAGGGACCCTGGCAGCTCTGATCAGCTCTACCGACTGGGCTGTTAAGATCCAGCAGAAGGTGTTGTGAGGCTAAGTCAGACTAATATCAATGTGTCCTGACTGTGTCCGGAAGTGGTCAGCAAATCCAGTTTCTAGATGCGTGGTCAGGAGGCTCCAAGTGCAGTCCCTGACTCAGGCCCTGAAGTTGCACTTCCATTGGCTGGGAACAGCAGCCAATGGGAGCTGTGTGGGCTGTGCCTGTGGGAAAGAGCAGTTCACAGAACTTTTTGCCCCTCCACTGCCTAGGATCTGGAACTACTTGCTGCTTCTCAGGTGCAGTATGGGGCCAAGACAGGCAGGGAGCCTGCCTTAACCATGCTACATCACTGACTGGGAACCAAGTGAGGTAAGGCCAAGACCCAAACCTGAGACTCAAGCCCCTGTCTCAGCTCTAAGTCTCGCCCCAACCCGGAGTCTTCTCCTGTACCCCAAGCCCTTCATCCTTGGCCCCATCCAAAAGCCTGTACCCCAACTCCCTGTTTCAACCCCTGCCCTTCTCCCATACTCCAAATCCATTCCTGTAACCTATATCCCTCCTTCCCACCCCTACTACAGAGCTTGCACACCCATAGGAGCCCTGACTCTCTCCCACATCTCAAGCCCCTTCCTCAGCCCAGAGTCCCCTTTTACACCTTGAACCCTTCATTTCTAGTTCTTCCTCAGAGGCCACACCCTCGTTAAAGCTAGGGATATGAATGGATAACTGGTTACACAGTAAGCATTACTCTCACTGGGCAATGCTTATCTGTAACCAGTTAACCGGTAGCCCTGTGGGGCCAGGGGCAGGGAGCCCCATGGGAATGGTTTCCAGGACCTCCACAGGGCTGGTGGCTGGCAGCTAGCAGTCCTGTAGAGCTGGAAGCCCTGTGGACTTAGGGGCCAAGAGCCAGCAGCTGGAGCAGCCCCCATCCATGGGATCCTGCTTAATTAGTTAATCAGTTAAACATAATGTTTCACCAGTTTACTGATTAAACAAGATTTTACACCCCTAGTTAGAACCCTTATCCCCTCTCACACCCCGACCTCCTACCCCAGCCCAATGTATGATCAGATACAGGCATTGGACCTGTTTCCAGTACTTCGGTGAAGTTAAGAGTTTAATATTAACCAGAAAAAACTTTCCTTAACACTCGCCTCCCATATTGCTGGTGCTGACTGATTTAAATGCTCTGAGTAGGATTTTTCTGTGTGAAATGCAGGTTAACACAAAACCAAACACCCTAGGCCCACACCTTCCCTGAAGCCACACACCTACCCCGAGGCCCCAGCTCACTACTTTCTCCATTCCCTGAAAGCTTTCTCTCTCCAACCCTCACTCACTTTCCCTGGGCTGAACTAGGGGATGAGGGGGGATGAGCGCTTTCATGAGAGTGCAGGTTCTGAGGTGGGGCCAGAGATTGGGAGGTTTTAAATTTTACTTTTTTTTTCTTTTTCTTCTTCTTCTTCTTCTTCCTCTGTGCAAGAGGAAGTCTTGTCTTTCTGATCTTACATACAGCTGTTTTCTTTAAATCTTAGAAAGAAAACTACACAATCCTCTAGAATTATTGATCTTTGTATTCAACTAGGAGATAATATGTAGGGTAAAAATAATAAACTTGAACCGCTGACATTCCTCAGCAGTTGTCAAAATTCAAACAAAGCAAATAATAATAGTCTTTATTATCAAAATCTAACAAAAGCAAACTCAATGTTCATCTTATTTCTTATTCCTTGTCAGTGTTGACATGTTTACTAAGTCAGCTAAAGAGCTTGGATACTTCAAAATATATATTTTAAACAGCTTTAACAATGTTTTTGTCACATTTAACAACTGTTTGAATAACTGCTGATACCAGTAAAAGTTAGTTTACATTCCTACCAATTGTTTTGACACAAGAAAAGAAGAGCCCTCCAATTACTCTAGACCAGGAGGCTTTTTAAACTAACATTTATTAAGAATAAAGAACAAATGCAAGTCTATGTCTGCTGCTCTCTAACCTTGAGAGGAATATGTCTCTTCATATTTAAAGTAACTTTGCTGATTTAACAAAGTTTTCTTTGAATGAGTAGTGATCACTACCTCTCTTCAAAGTCACTGTTACATACGTTCTTCCAGAAGGCAAGAATTCTTTAAATCAGAATCAAGGCAACAAAAGTAGAATATAGGAGTGCTATTTCAATTTAACCTTATGGATACTCCATATAAGGACTTTCAAAAATTCTTTTGATAAGATGGCCCTGAAGAAAATCTGGTAACCAGGTGGTGTGAGACCAACTGTCACATAGATTAAAAACAGAGTAAGTTAAAAAAATAAAAAAATAAAAGTGACATTCCTACATATTTATCTATAAAATCAGTGGGTTTATTTCAAAAGGAACAGAACCAAGTCCTTTATCGGTACCATGTTTGTAGCTCTCTATCCATAAGGCCAAACTGCCATTGCCCTATGAATACAACTAGAGAGAGTCAGTGTGAAGAAGAAAAAATAACACATTTTAGAAACCTCCAAAATGATCTATATCTTTCCCATACACCAAAGTACAAAAGTATCAATGTTATGAAACAAAATTCCCCAAGCTAAGAATAAAATGCTTTTTTCTCAGCAGAAAGTATGATATGTTTCTATTTGTGATGGTTCCTGAAATACTGAACCTTAAACATATTCTTCCTCCAGAACTGAATACCCTTCCATCCTGACCATCAGACAATTCTGTAAATCTAGGGAGAAAAAGGAAATTTTTCTAGTACAGGGCAGGCAAATACCAGCTAGCAGGCTGGATCCGGTCCACCAGGCTTAGCCCTGTCAGGCAGTCACTGCAACATTTATCTGCATCTTCATAGGTATGGACAATTGCAGCTGTTGTTCACTGTGGATCACTGTTTCCAGCTAATGGGAAAGGATGTCCCAGTTTGTACCATTATGGGCATCTTCCATTGGTCGGGAATGGTGATCCACAGCCAATGGGAGCTGCAATCGCTAGTACCTGTAGAGATGCAGGTAAATATAGTGATTGCGGCCCACCAGGGTCTAGCTCTGGTGAATCACCACTGTTTTATTATCCACCCCTGCTCTAGATAGTATGTTTGTTTTTTAAGATTGTTATTGGATAGTGCTTAAAGGTTACCTATATATATATATTTAGGACCAGATCTTAGTACACAAACACTAGCTTTCCAGCTTCACTAACAACATTTTTCTTAGAAAACACAGCATGTCTACCTCTCCCATTTTCTTAGTGGGGCAGAATAGTGGATTACATCTTTTAACATTCGATAGTTATAGATTATCCTAGTTTAAGATGTAATATAA